TGTGAAATGTTAAATGCTCTATAACATGCTTCTAAATCATGTATACATTAACATGAATTATTCAAAGATATATCATCATGCTCGGTTTGCAAAATAGCAATTTCTATACATTTCACTCAACAAGTATGCTTCTATTCTCATGGATCAAATAGTACAATTTAATCATGCTTTCATAATAAATCATATTCCCAAAGGATCATGCTTCTTTACTCAACAAGAACATTATCTGATCACAAATTCAACAATTTCTCAAATACAGAGAGTTAGGCAAAATATGCATTGTGTCACATTTCTTCACAAAATCATTCATAGCATACTCGCTTTTAATCCAAACTCAACGAACTCAAAGCCAAAATGTGCGTCAAGATGATCCCGAAGAGCCGAGCCACAAGAGCCCGTAACACTCGGTCCGAAACAACATGTAGCTGAGCCACAAGGGCCCGGCCACTGCACAAAAATCTCATCAGATCATCACTCAGGGACTTGGGGTGGGACACATCATGGTCCGCCCCTATAGACCCGCTACTACGCCGGGACTAGGCGACAACCCTCTTCTAGGGCAGTGCCCTAGTCCCGTGGTGGCACGGCTCTAGCCGGCGGCCCTTCTGATGGGCCGCGGCTAGGGCCGCCACTCTGGTCTGGTGCACACTTTGTTGTGCACTAGATAGCTTCTCACCTGCAAAATCTTGTCCAAACATGTCAAAAACAATCTCAACAACTCATAAACACATATCAAAGCATTTCTAAGCATAAACACATCAAAAGCTCTAGTTTCTAATCATTTCTACTCAAATCTAGGCTTCACAGAGCCAAATCTAAAGAGGAATCCATGGGGTTATACCTCTTGTAAACCTCTTCTTCTAGCTTGGATCTCTTCTTCCTCTTAGTCTAGCTTGAGCCTCCTTCACCACCTACACTTCCCAACGCACCTTCTATCCTTAGCCTAAAACCATAAAGACTAAAGAAACCAGAAAAAAAAAATGAAGCTAGAAAGGAGGATGAACAATGCTTACTAAATTGGAGCTTTTCTCCTTGGATGTTGGCAGACAAATGTGAGGAGGAGGCAATGAAAATGAGATCAGGAAAATGTGATGGAATGAAGGGTTTATTTAGGGTCCAAAACCCTAGGATGATACACAATGATTAGTTGAGGGCAAAGGGGTAATTTCCCCAAGCTAAAAGATGACTTTATAAGGGATTTTTGGATGTCTTGTGGTCCACCATGTATCATGAACCATAGGCTAAAAATGATATTTCTTTATTACTTTGGGGTGGAAAGTGAATTTTTCCAAAAAACCATATGGATGAACACTTGTTCAAAATTCTCTTTTTAATTCTCCCGGTCTCACTCGGATAAAATTCTCGATTTAAATCTTGGTACGCGAAGTACCCGATAACTTGGAATTTTCGAAAGAAATACTCTTCTTCGGTGTCGAATTGATTTCAAAATGTGACGAAGATTATTTTATTCACACACCGATTGATCGCAAAAATTTTTAATGGAGTCAAAAAGCTATTTTGAATTTTCTTAATACTCGATTTATAAATTGAAATTTTGGGTTGTTGCACTTCATTAGAAATTTAGTTATATGTTATTGAAAAGAATGCACAAGATATCACAAATACTGCCCAAAATTTGTGCACTTGAAGGCAAAGAAACATGCACTTGAATGCATAAAATCTGCATCGAAAGAAAATAAGGGTTCACTTGAATGCTAAGCTTTTAAAAAATAATAATAATAATTTACACAATAGTAAGGCACACATACACTTTTAGCACTTGAAAGCATAAAGATAAAAGATGATCACTAGAAGGCAAGGGAGAGAGAAAAAAAAAGGACACTAAAAAGGAAAAATTCAAAAGAAATTAATTATGCACTCTTAGAAAGGAAAACATGCACTTGAACGCTAGAAAACGTGCACTTGAATGCCAAAAGATTTGCACTCAAAGGCACAAAGATGTGCACTCAAAATAGAAACTAAGTACTGAAATAAAAGTGATGCACTCGAAGAAGAAAAGGTATGCACTTGAAGAAGGAAAAATGTGCACTCGAAGAAGGACAAATGTGCACTCGAATACAAAACACAAACTGACTTATTTACTCAAAATTACAAATATGTCACCGCGCGTTTTTTAATTAAAATTTAATTTTGGCTGTTGATTTGGATTGCATTTACGATTGAAAACTTTCCGCAGTTTTTACCTGTTGAGACTTTTTTATTTGATCCGCAATATATATATATATATATATATATATATATATATATATATATATATATATATATATATATATATATATATATATATATAGGGTTGCGTTCTAATGCAAACCTCCTTAAAATACAAACGTGCGGACAAAATCTAGCCATAGGATGTGATAAGATGAATGGATTAGATGTACTGTCACTCGGGAGACGCGAATTGCTAATTAATGTAAAGAGGGGTAATTATGTGATTGCACCTAAAACGTAAATAAGGTCAGAATTCTAATTGCTATAATATGCTATCAATTAGGCAGTAAAATAGTGGTAGGATTAGAATAAACATCCAGCACTGAACGCTCTTTCACGCCATCGGACAACTGACTGCTCCATCGTGCTTCCATGGACGCGAGATCAGATTCTATGAACAATGCAAACCTACAAAATTACGATGGCAGTGCAGACCCCATGGATGATGCCAATTCAGGTAATTACCCCTACAGTTGACCGCTATAATTCTATGTCGTTTTAGTGTAGAGAAACGCTGTGGGATGCGTTCGTATTAAATTTTGGGGGTCAGTAGTTGTGAATATTTGACTGCGGACGCATTCGTAGCAGAGGTTATTGACTTTGGAAAATACGAATCTGCAAAAAATAAATATTATGGAGTGACTACGATGGGGGGTAGGGGTTATAGCGTTTCGTTCTACTAGTGCATACAGTATTATACTCGTATGCACATATCGGACCGTAGGTTAAGCAAAGGCACATTCACAGATTGTCTGGGTTATATTATATGTAATTGTACTCGTAGTGCACACAATATTATACTTGTATGCACACATCGAGCCGCACGTTAAACATGGCCGCATTCACAGCTTATCTCGTTTATATTATATGAAATTCTAACAGTGCTACCATTGCCAACCAATGCTACTAATATTTACGCAAAACACTTGTGACTTATAGGCAAAGAACATACCGAAGAACGAACAACCGATTGCGAAATGATCATATTACCGGAACGAAACAGTGGTTACCAACTTGCAAAAGTGAATGCACACCATATGTCGGGCAACAATTTGCAACGCTAGAAGACAGACTAGCCTTCTACCGGGAATACGCAACTATTATATTGTTGGTTTTTATATCAGAAAAGGAACAATGTGGATGAATAGGGAAGGGGAAGTTCACATAAAATACATGCTATGCTCACGGAAAGGATACAAACCCACAAAGAAGGGGAGTAGCGTGGACACCGACATAGGAAGCAGCACACAACCAAAGAAAAGGAGGCGGGTCTCAAAAGGAGTTGGTTGTAAGGCCCGAATCTTGATAACATGGTGTTCAACTGGCGGGTATCAAGTCCACGCAGTAGAGCTGTGGCACTCACACTACCTATGCTCTGACGTTGGGAGGCCCTTCTTGAAAATAAATAGGAAGCTGGATATTGGACACAAAATATTCCTAGCAAACTGCGCAAGGGCAAACATTGGTTCCACAAAAGCTTGGAGACTATACAAGGAAATGGTGGGAAGTTTTACCGATATAGGGGCACCATCCACTAATTTCTGCAATTTTAGGATAGACTTGTTCGCTTATATTGCAAGAGCATATGCACAAATGGTAATAGAAGACATGTTCAAAGATAAAGAGAGCAACCCAGACTTCTACTTTGTTGGCAATTGTGCAGGCTGTTCTAGGCTGATGCGACATCCTGGAACAATTTTGCATGTTTTGGAGATGTGATGTCATTTGACGCTACGTACAGCACGAACAGGTACATGTGACACAAATTAAATTGGTCGAATTTATTGAAATTGTTTTTCAATTCATATTACTATACACTTCACCCGTGGTAAAAGAAATGTTTTTTTTTTTAACCATACTAGTAAGTAGAGTGGGCGCAACAATGGGCAATTACACTGTGTGCATGTTACAGAAGTTGTGTGTGCATAGCAACTTAGCCATAGTATTTACATTTGAAGTGGCCAAAAAAAAATGAGACCTGTATTAATATTATAGCCATAATATTTACATTTGAAGTGGCCTAAAAAGTGAGGCCTGTATTAATATTGTAGCCATAGTATTTACATTTGAAGTGGAAAAAAAAAAAAAAAAAAGAGGCCTGTATTAATATTAATTATACGTGAGTGCACTAATTGCGAAACAATATAACCCATGAGGGCCTATATTAATATTAAACTAGGCTGATTTAAATGTTATCCATGGAAACTAATTCATTTATTTGCAACATGCACACTGAGAACAGCCATTGCGCACACACGTTTGGAACTAGTAAATCCTATAAGCTAATAGTAAACTTCTTACTTGAGTTTAATTTTTTCAAGTTTTTACCCATGCTTGATAATTAGTTAGTTGTGCATGCACATAAGTAAAGCCAATGTCCAAGAACTATGCGGGGAAGATAAATTGAACTATTATCTTTTGCGAAATTTATCTATTAACGTGGGCAGTTCTTCGAAAGTTAACGCGCGTGCTCACAGAGTTACGCCACTGTACACACGAATCGACCAACAAACATTAGAAACTACTGTTACCTAAAACAAACGAAATTAGTGTGGAAGTGTAGGGTTGTGCACCCCGAATTATAACGCTGTGCATTCTGACAAACACAAACGCAACCCAAACCAAAGTAGACACCAAAATTACACTAACCGAGGAGCAATTAATACCATAAATTTGTCAGTAATAAACACAAAACCAACTATGAAGAAACAAATGTCAAAGGGACCCCATGAGGGTACACGGGTGCAACCCGTACTTAGCAAAAAGAATGAGAACTCAACAAACTAAATAGTGGCTTAAACACCCATAAACAGTAACAATGGTAGCTGAATAACAAATCCAAAAAGGTAGCTATACCATGGCAAAAACTGCGAATTAATATCCATTAACCCAAGGGCACGAAACCCACTCCGGACCAACGGGATCGATTACACGAACTGATACGCCCGAGAAATATTCCTAGACTTAAGTAAATTGAATTCTAATGTTGCAATTTCCTTCATGTAGTGTAACCTCAACTTCTTGAGCTGAGCAATGTTACCTTTGGTAAGACCACACCTCCATCTAGTCACTCCTTGCCCCATGTAAGACTCCATATGACGCATGACATAGACCCCGCAGTCAACCTTATTCTTGCAATCACACCAACTCATCTGCATGTGCTTTGGCTCCAAAACACGCACACATCGTAGACCTCCCCGGATGAATAGTGCTAAAGAATTCCATTAGCATGATCAACTGTAACAGATCCTCATATTGCACACATCATAATGAAGAAAACCGAAGAGCGCAAAGAGGTAAAAAATACCAGACTGGGCGAAATATATAACATACCAACTTGTGCGGGAAATCACCATATTTATGCTTTGTATTAGGCTGAAGAGTCGAATTATCAATTATTTCAAACCGGTATTTTCAGAAATCAACGCATAGAAGGAAGCAATACACTTATCCCAATCAAGGGAGGCATCCACGACAGTACGAAGCTTCAAGAGGAGTGAAATTAGCACAAACAAAGAAACATAAACATGTCAAACTACCATAACACGAAAAGATGCAGAAACAAACCTGGAAAGATTGGAGGCAAAAAATCGAGAAGGGGCATTCGATTCCTTATACCGCTCTCGACAATTTAACAGACACGCCCATGAATCTAGAACACCAACCTCAACCAAATACCCGGGTGCCAAAGACACCAAGGCCATCCACCGCGCCACACTACCACCCACATCAACCAAAATCTCCTCCCTAAACGAAAGTAATTAAAAATAACACACCGATCAAACACACATAACCAACACAATATGTCTATTAAAAAATGGTTTCCGGAACTAACATGTTCCCCTCCGCTGCACACAACAACCAGTTGCAAATAACCAACTCTTCTGGATTGTTATAATGGGGCAACCCCAAATCCAGATAGGACAGTTGCAAAGGCAAGGCATCCGGCGGGATAGTAACACCCTTGGAAGGTTTGAAAGGGGCTTGACAAATAGGTCCGCCAGACGGACACCGACTAGGCTCACCCCCATGTATAGATGGCTGCACAGAAAGAAGTGGGAGCATCAATAACCAATTCTTGAATACAAATTACAAATGCCACTAACTAAAACTGTGCACACATAAATTCCAGCAAGTGCATCCATTTATTCACAACCATGCACACATCAAATTCATTATTTTATAACACAACCTTGCAACTAACAATTCTAAAATTGAACATACAATTGCCACTTAATAAAATTGTGCACACATAATTCCAGCACATGCACCCATTAATTCACAAGCATGCACACAGAAAACTCATTACTTTATACCACAACCTTGCAACTAACCAATTCTTGGATTAAAGATATAAATGTTACTTAATAAATCTGTGCACACATAAATCCCAGCAAATGCATCCATTTATTCACAAGCGTGCCCAAAGCTACTATAAAAAAAAATTAACAAATACATCTGATTTACAGAATAAAAATAGAAAAACAAGGAATAAAATGCACACATCAAATCAATTCCATTATAACACAGTGCACATATAAAGCACAACAAATGCACCCATTTATCCACAAGCATGCAAACAAAAAACTCATTACTTCGAAACACAAACTTTCAACTAACCAATTCTTGAATTCAAATTACATATGCGATTTACTAAAACTGCGCATACATAAATACCAGCAAGTGCATCCACTTATTCACAATCATGCACACATCAAATCCATTACTTTATAACACAACCTTTCAACTAACCAATTTTAAATTGAACATACAATTGCCACTCAATAAAACTGTGCAAACATAAATCCGAGCACATTCACCCATTTATTCACAAGCATGCACATATAAAACAAATTACGGTATACCACAACCTCGCAACTAACCAATTCTTGGATTCAAACTACAAATGCCACTTAATAAACCTGTGCACACATAAACCCCAGCAAATGCATCTATTTATTCACAACAATAAAAATAAGAATAAAATGCACACATCAAATTCATTCCTTTACGCACACATCAAATGTCATTGACCTTTAATTTGAAAATTAGAAATGGATTTAATACGCAAAAAAAAAAAAAAAAAAACACAACTAAATCCGTAAAGAACACGCATGAAAAAATAAAACTACCATAAAACTAATGTTCTACGCACTCATTCATGCATATAGCTAAGTAGCTACACCATTCAGCACAATCCGAAAAGAGACCTAGAACAGATTGAGCAAACACAATGCAAAAAAAAAAAAAAAAAAAAAAAAAAACAAAAAAACAAAAAACAAAAAACAAAAACAAAAAAAAAAACAAAAACAACAACAAATGCCACCATTTATTCACATACGTGCACACAACGAACACAGTACAATGAGCTCTAAAATTATGCACAACATCATCTCCAATTTCTTGTATATCTAAAGAGTGAAACCTTTGTTTTATTGCCCCCAATTAGTCCACATCTACTATACGAAAAAAAAAAAAAATGTACAGTGTGCCAACTCCAAAAAATTCCTTTAATTTCAATCCAATACAAAAAAAGCGAAAAAAAAAATCCCCCCTCCATTGTATTACTGCAGCCCCAGACCCATTGTAAACCACTGTTAGCCCCAAAACCATTGTAAACCACAGTCCCAAACCCATTTCTAATTGAATTGAAGATAGCTAACAAACTAGAAAGCTACCGTACAAAATTAACATAACTGTAGACTGATTTGCAGAATACAAATAGAAAAAGCATGAATAAATTTATAAAAATGTATATTCACACTAGAACCACCGTGAGCCACAATTTATAAACCCCTTCTATTTCCGCCTCCCCAGCCCCCCGTGAACTACCGTACGCAACCACAAATTCACACACAGACCACCTGATGGTCGGAATAAATCACAAAAACCGAACCACCGCATACCACAACCCCAGCCCCGCGTGTACCTTCGTACACAACAAACGAGCCAAAAAAATTGCAAAGTAGAAAAGGGGGAAAAATACCTGGACCTACAGCCCTTGAAGGTGGACCCTGCCGCTTTGCTCCACCGCAATCCCCACCGCTTTGCCCCATCGTCCGGGCAACTAATGAAGCACCCTTTCGACGGCGTGGAAAGTGTTGGAAAACGCAAGGTCATGATAGATAGAGAGAGAGAGAGAGAGTCCGTACAAGTCAAAATTATGGATGGTAATTGAATTTCTGTAGGATTTGATCCGGTTAAACCAAAACAAAAAACCCCAAAACACCCCCCTTAACATAAAACATGTCACCGCTTTATTAAAACACGCCTTAAATCATTAAATAAATCCTGGACATCCAATCTTAAAATCCAACGATCCTAATAAATTCGCACGTTTGTATTTTAAGGACTATTTGTATTTGAATATATTCCTATATATATATATATATATATATATATATATATATATATATATATAATAATAATAATAATAATAATAATAATAATAATAATAATAATAAAGTTCAAATGCGGCGAGGTCTTCTCGTGCGACGGTGCGGCGGAATTCCATAATACACCAACATTGTTAACAATATGCACCAACAGTGTAACAAAAACACACCACAATGAAATGCAATAAAACATTACAAAATACACAACAGACTCAAAAAAATACACCATATAACTCACCACCCCAATGGTGTATTTCTGAACAATGTATGGTGTTTTTACTCACATCTAATGGTGTGTGTTTGGTGATGCAGGGCTCTGTTTACTCTGTTTTTTGTGGTGTGGGCTCTGTTTACTCTGTTTTTTGTGGTGTATTTTCCTAACGTTGATGGTGCATATTTGTTGAACTATTGGTGTTGCCGCACTGTAAGAAATCGGTGCCACACCTGAACTCGCCTCTATATATATATATATATATATATATATATATATATATAATTTTAGTTAACTGATCAATTAATTCAATTAACTGATATTTTCAAACCAAATTAACACTTGAATAAAATTCTATAAAACCTCTTACCATTAGTCAAATTGAAATATTTCAATTAAAAAACAGTTAATCAAAATTCGTTGATTCGGTCTATTATTTGAACTTTTACCAAAATTTATACACCCCTACAAAAGTGTCCAACTAAACGTAAACGGTAAACCTCACCAAAATACCCGAGAGCAAAATTAAAATAGTGATAGAAGACGACAAGAATCCTAGGTGAGCTAGCACATGCATGGTGTAATATATATCTGAGCTGATGGAAACACATGCTACCAACAATGCAATTGTGTCTATATTATATAGTGGCAAGGATGTCCCCTCCATGTGCCTTTAGACTCCACTTTCCACTAATCCTCTGGTTAGTGTATCATTGTTGGAAGAAGAAAAAGCAAAAGAAAAAACAGTCACACAGATGACAAGGAAAAAATAAAGAACATAAAAAGAAAGAGAGAGCTTCATTTCTTTCAGATTAATGATCTCCAATTCTCCAAATGAAAATGCAGAGAAACAGTAGCATACAATTGAATGAATATGAAATGTAGGCCAAACAACAATAGTAATTTCAGCACTCCACTTTACAACAGATAATGTGAGGATAAACAATGAAGAACCAAACAGAAAGCCATCACAAAACATGTTGATGAACTCAAGGAAACCGCAGAAGAATCCGGCAAAGACTGAGAGGGGGCAAAAGCAGAATCAGGGATGACGGGAAGCGTTTCGTCAGGATTCTTGCTGGGATTTGAAGGGATTGTTGGCATAGAAGATCCGGCTGAAGGTGAAGGCAGTAGAGGCGCGATATCTGGCGAGACTTGAGGAATACTACTTGATGAAGGAGCTTCTGATATGGCAGAAGCCTCCAGCTTGCTGGTCTGATGCAGAGACAAACACAATAAAGGGGAAGCCATAAAAGCCATCATCAATGCCAGTGGCACTACAAGAAAGTTAAAGCAATAAGCCATTGTGGCAATAATGATGGTGAAATCAATCACACACTCATTTCTTAGAGGCCTTTTATAAATGTTCAAAGTGAAATTTACAAAGAAGATATGATTAAAGAAATGTTAAAGTTTTGACCACTGATCATTGTGGGCTATGGTGAGCGTATGACAGTGGTGAGTAGATACAGTTGGCAACTTGTCATGTTTTAGAAGCAGACAAAACTAAAGTCTTTTTTTTTTTTTTTCCATAATAATAATATAATAATAATAATAATACAGTTATATAATTAATAAATATACAGCAATTTATATTCTCTACAAAAAAATAATAATTGACAACAACTAATTATAAATGGGACTAAATACGCTATATACAAAAGGACTACACCTAGCCACCACAACCATTAAGGATTATTGGCACAACAGAAAATATTATATTTATGTTTAGTAGCTTTGAGATGCATGCTAAATTTAGGATTCCTTTCAAATTGTAGGAGTGGGAATCCCAAGCATGTTCGGTGGGATAAAATTTTTTAGTTTTTTAAATTGCTACTTAATCAGTAGATATCTGCTGGGAGTCATAAGATAACACTCCCTTGTTGGGACACCAGATTTGCAAATTATAGTGTACCCTTATTTAATCTAGAGAAAGTTCATTGTATTTGCAATCCATGTTCATTTGAAAATTTGAATGACGTCATTCAAGACAGGATTGAAATGTTACTATTAGGATCAAGCGCTTACCACTACGCCAAAAGTTATAGAACTTTATTTTTTTATAAACCACCACTACATTTTCGAGAGGTAGGGTGCTGGATATAGCCCTTCACCGACCTCCGCCCAACAATTTTTCGAGTCACCAATTGTTAGACTTGGCCCATCATGGTCCTCTGCCCAACAATTATTTTTGAAGAAAACATTTACCTATGTAAGAAGGCGCAGCAAGCTTGGTACCTAGGAATATGAAAAGAAAAAAGGAGGCATCTTTACAAATGCCGCTTTCATCAATACAAAATTAGTACTGCACAATACATCTCCAAAGATACCAAAGTAGAAAAGAAGACAGCATTTCAACAGGTTCTGCATCCCAGTATTATAACCCCCACAAAAATAATATTATACTTTCAACTTGATCACTTTTTACGTGCATAAGTAAACATGAGAGAAGGGAAACATCATAAGTTAATTACGTGTGCGACCTGACTTTGATACCACTTATTAGGATCAAACGCTTACCACTACGCCAAAAGCTATAGCTCGTACCAAAGGTGCAACTTTATTTCTTTATACCGCCACACATTTTCAAAACGATAGGTGCTAAACTTGACCGTTTAAGCCCGTAACCGGCCTCTGGCCAACAATTTCTCAGCCACCGGGTGCTAAACTTGGCCTTTACCGGCCTTTTCCCAACAGTCAGAAATATAATGTTGTTCAAGGCATTCTGCGGCTCCCTTTTTTTTTAGTGTTGTACTGGCAGAGGACAAGTAAAGATGTTCAGATGTAGTATTTCATTGTGATCTCTATAAATGTGTTCTCAATGAACTTAATATTAGACATATACACACACACTTCTTCAGTTTATAGAATGATAGTACAATGATGTGCAAATGATACTTGGCGATGCTTGAAAAGATCACACACCTTGTAAAACATCTTTCAGTTTTAGAAGATTCTGCATCACCAAGAACAGCTTGGGCCTTGAGATTCTGGGGAATGTGTACTGGCCGGCTTACCTGTTTTACACCAGTACCACGTTAATACCCTCTTGGGGTCCCATCTCTAGCAGAGGACCGAATCTATCTGCCACATAAATATTGAGTTGTACTAGGATGTAGGCAGAGGCGGACTCACAGTGGAGGCAGTGGGGTCAGCTGCCCCCACTCACCCCACCCCCACCTCTTATATAACCCTTGTATGTATATGTGTATATATATAGTAGAAGTTTTAGTATAAGTATTAAAAAATAGAGAAATGATAATAGAATGTGACTTAGCCTAGTTGGCAGAGCGCATGGTTGGCTTAAAGGTAGGCAGGGTTCGAATCTGTGGCTGAGCGTGTGGTTTGTTTTAAATTTTTTTGACATTTTATTTCACATTATTATTAATAGTGCATATTGCTTCAACACAATAATATAATCTTCATCTTCAATGAGATGAGATGTTGTTTATAATGGATCTTTTATTCAAATTATTTTATCAAATTGAGTATATTCATATTTTGTTATGAATATTTTTATAATGTTTTGATGTGTTTTATAATTTTCCTATATCCAACATTATTTATGGTTATACTTTTTAAGTGTTTCATTTTTTTTTTTCTAATTATCAATTTTCCTTTAATATTTTGCCCCCGCTGAAAAAAAATTTCTGGGTCCGCCACTGGATGTAAGGGATAAAATAGAAGCACACAAAACTGCTCAGACGCACGTACTGTAAATTCCTCAGCTATTCATACGCCATTAAGTCTATGGTTTTGTTCAAAATTTGAAATTTTTTATCAAATTCTCGACAAACCCCCATTCTGCCTTGATGGAGTCCACAGATTGAAATTGCATAAAGCAAAGTAGACCAAAGCCAAAGTAAGAGAGACCATAGTAACTGATTCAGGCCGAGAAAGTAACATAGCGCACCCAAGTGCAATGTACAGCTGCTTCTCATTAAGTCAGCAAGCACATGAATATATCTTATCGTCCAAAGAACAATATGATATGTATACCCAACAATATAGCATGGCAAAAATTCTGTGCTTATTTCAAAGTAAATCAAATCAGAAAATGTGGCAGCAGTAGCAGGGCATATGACACATATGAGGGCAACAAAGCCAAGATAATAGTTACAAATTAAATGCTTGAAGGCAAAAACAGTGACATCCATCAAGCTGTCAGCATAACTGAGCTACGGGTGCTGCCAGAGCAACGAACAGCAGAGATAGATGCCGGGTTACTTTTGAGATCTGCTAGTCTACCCAGCCACTTATGCCCACCCTTAAACCACCTAAAATCATTTGCTGTTCCATCTGAGATCTCCACAATCCATTCAAAAGACCTGCTCAGTCATATAAATCACGACTAGTTTTATGAACTGTACTGATGGAGTGATGGTTCAGTTTGTTTTAATGAAGGGGAAGGTGCTAGCTAAGAGATGTGCAAGAAATAGACTAATAGATACACTCATGTTCATAAATTTCTGGTTTAAGTACTACATTAGTCTCTGTACTAAAAACAATCCATTCCAATATGCCAGCTATCATACTTGTGAACTATACACAAATAATAAATAGAGAAGAATATGTGTCACCAGGCTTTTAAAATAAAACTTGAATAAGGCATCTCTCTGCCCATTCCCCGAAAAAAGCCTAAGTTTTGTGGAATGACAGAAGCAGCTAGGCAAAAGCACTATGGTTCAAGAATATGAAATCAATTATTTCTGTATTTGTATATTCAAGAATATGAAATCAGTTATTTCTGTATTTGTATATTCAAGAATATGAATTATGAAATCACTTTTCATTTGGAGGGGATTCTCTTCACATCCACGTGAATGTACAGAACATCCTTCAAGAACACGGGGAATATGGGCATTATATTCTTGAGCTTGAAAGAAGCGATTAGATCAGCCTCGTGACTGAAGTAGAAGGCCGCAGCCAGCTCCACTCTACGATCCTCAGGGCATCCCGCAACGGCGAAGATCTTGTCAAGGGTCCGGATCCACTCCTCAAGTACCACTGGGTCCTCTTCTCCGGCGAACACCGGTGGCCTATGTCCCGATACTAGACGTCTCACATCCCGATGTCCGGCAGGCTGCGGTGGAGGAGCAGGATGGTTGTTGTACAGAAGAGCTTCACTCAAGGTCTGCATGGTCTGCGTCAGATGTTGCAAATTCTGAGCCAGCTGCTCGTTGGTTGGTGTCTCGAGCGTACGAGCGCGGTGTCGAGGCGGAGCCATGGCGATACTTCTACAACAACAACACAGTTACGGTAGGCATAAACAAACAACGCACCTTACCTGACGCTAACTAAAAGAACGCTAAGCTAAGCAGGAACAACAAAGCAAACAGACCAAACAGTAAACAACACACAACTCACCACGCGTCCTAGAAGTCCTAAGTCCCAAACTCTTAGATACTTAAAGGCCAACTTAGGTTCTCAAACCATACTTAACTTCTTAAAGTCCAGACTCTAACATCCTAGGCTCAAACCTGGCCCTGATACCAACTGTAACACCCCCGATTTTCAACAATTTTTAAAACCAATTAAAGCTTAAAGAAGAGATAAAGTCTACTCATTAAGATTAAATTAAGCTGATGAAGCAAGCAGAAGAATTGGAAGATGAAGCTAGCAAAACAGTTAGTTAATCTGTTTAGTAACAGTTAGTGTCCCTGAGGGCATATCTGTAATTTCTCTTCTAAATTGGTTAGAAACGGTTAAGTGGAGGGTTAGTAGCCTTTTTTTTTTTTTTTTTTTTGATCTTCCTACAGGAAAGACACCAATTGGGTGTAGATGGGTGTATAAAGTCAAGCACAAAGCTGATGGAACAATAGAAAGGTATAAAGCTAGGCTTGTAGCCAAGGGGTATACTCAACAGATGGGAGTGGACTACATTGAAACCTTTTCACTTGTGGCTAGGATGACCACAATCAAGACTTTTTTGGCTGTGGCAATTGCTAAAAATTGGGATATCCAACAACTTGACATCAACAATGCTTTCTTGCATGGTGATTTAAATGAAGAGGTGTACATGTCCCTACCACCTGGATTCAAGACTGACAAGCCCAACCAAGTGTGTAAGTTACTTAAATCCTTATATGGATTAAAACAAGCAAGTAGGCAATGGAATGCCAAACTCACAAAATCCCTCTTGGACAGTGGTTTTCAGCAGTCTTCTGCTGACCCTTCCTTGTTTACTAAATCCTATGATGGGTCCTTCATTGCTTTACTAGTGTATGTAGATGACATACTAGTAGCAGGAACAGATTCCAACAAGATCCAAGAATTGAAGGATATGCTGAATGATCTCTATAAGA